AGATGTAAACAGCTATATTGAGATAAATAGCTGTCTAATATACCTAAAGGATAATTTTTAAGACTAAGGAGAAATTGCTCAAACCAACAGGATTTTTCCACACAGTCATGTGTTTTTAAAAAAAACAATTCATACAAAGAGGTTACAATGCTGAACTTTTAAATAAACATATTAAAGATGTCGCATTTTTAGATACATCTCCTCTTTTAGAATATTTGGGGGAAAAACAGATAATCAGATCCCATTCAATTTTAATTATTCAAGCAATATAGGTACTATAATGTAGGTATAAGATCATTAATAAAAATTAAACATTTTTGCCCCCATAAAAACAAATTTGGGTTTAGGACCTATAAACTCTTGTATTTCATCCTCTTGTTTCAAAATGTGCCAAACAGATTTTAACTAACAGTTTTTAGAAAAATACATTTTGGATAATCGTATTTTCTTAACTAATTGGTCAAAAAAAAAAATTTTTGTGCTATGCGTGTAGGAATACAGATATATTGAACAGAAATGTACTGAAATTTAGTTTTTCTGTTACAAAGAAAGATTTTAAAATTAAATCTTTAATCATGTGTCATTCGAACAATATAATATATCTACTTAATTGCACCTAAAGATACCAATACATAGGAGAAACATCTAGACCTATAAAAATCTCAATTAGTGAGCACATAAGAAGTATAAAGAAAGGGTTCACCAACCACAGTGTATCCAAACATTATTTAGAGAAACATGGTTCAGATCTGAAATATTTAGAATTCTGTGCAATAGAAAAAGTTAGTTTCAAGAGGTGAAATGGATTTTCGAAATGCACACCTTAACACCTATGGGTCTCAATATTGACTTTGAGATAAACGGCATTCTATAGGTCCATAAAGATTACTTCTGATTTACCATTGTCTTATACTTATGTTTTAAAGTTTTTTTACACCCGCTTTGTATTGCTCTATGCTTTTTCCTATATTGAACTGGTGTAAACATGCTTTTATGAATTATACTGATATAATCAGACATTATGGGCACATAAAATATTGAATTTGGTTTATGTATGTGCTCTATGATCATTTATATATATTTTTTGATGTAATTCTCATATATATTCTGATGTAATTCTCTTTTATATATTCACTTCAATGTGCTGCATGAACCTTTGGGCATCTTTGCCCTTTTTCAAAATGGACAAACGGAACTTTGAAGTCAAATCACTCCCACTAAATGACTAGGAGTTAAACCATCTCCTACCGGATGCTCAACGACACCTACGTCACAGGGAGTGACGTATCGGGATTATGCCGACCAGAAGAACTGGAGACCAATGCTCGGCATTAAGAAACCGTCACAGGAAGTGACACAAAGATGGACGAAATGGAACTGAAAAAAGGAGACTATACGAGCATTGCGGACATCTTGGGGTGGGAAAGAGACTATTGGGAATGGCGGCATACATCCGGCCTTGACCATATTTGGGTGTTGGTGGTTTTTACACACATATGTTTAAATTGTTTAGCTTATTTCCTGGCATATATTTGGCCATACTTGTTCAGTCTGTGAAATATATGCACCTTAGGAAGACCTTTGAAAGGTTGAAAGGCGTTGTTCTATTTTTACTTTGTTTATTAACAAGTTATTAAGAAACAATCACCTTTTAATACCTACCCTGGAGTTCCTGTGTTGTAGCAGTGCCGAGTTCATAAGGGCGACTGTAACGGAGCTCCTTGTACTCCGACTGAGTACCCTCCATTGACGGATGCTCCTAGCGCTTTCTGAGGACTCCAAGCGCTGCAGCAGACACCACAACCACCGCAGACTCCTCAACCGCCGTATCTTGACTGGAGTCTCGCCGTCTTCCTTCCACCCTGGATCAGCTTCTGTCCTCCAGGACTATGTGGGAAAGAACTCTTCCTTCCACCCTGTACGAACCTCCAGCATCCAGGACTGTGTGGTGAAGACCCCTCCTCCAAGGAGAGCGTGTCAGGAACAAGCTCTTAAAAGAGCTAAGTGACTCAAGCTCAGGGGAGCATGCAGAGCATAGCAATCCCCAGTGTGATTATAACAGCTCCCTCCAATAACGAGACAAGGCTACGTTTAGAGGGATCAAGAAGAACTGTTGTTTAATGGCACACACTCTGCTTTTATGAGATTCTGCCCATGCAAGGGAGACACCCACATAATTAGCAGTATAACCAATCGGAACAATATACATTCGGGGAAATTCCCATCCCACAGATAATCACATAACATAATTAAAACAGAACAGTAAAAATACAGTTTTTATACATGTACTATAACTTCCAAACTACACATCCAATCTTCATAAAAATTACATATTTGGAATCAATCCATTAAGGGGAGCAACATATTAAAATGGCACAAATCAGACAAGGGGTTCAAAAGTTAGCAAAAGTGTATTTTGGGGCCTGGCTGGCAGCATGGTTTTCTGGCCCAAACCGGTTTTACAGAGGCCTCTATCCTGGACAATGGGGAAAGTAATCCAATTATCCAGGGATAGAGGCAGACTCCATTAACCACATGTTAGCAAAAGACACAAAAAGACACAAAAATACATAACTCCTATTGAACTGAACAGAACCCCCACATTCAACCTATCCCCAGATGGCTTGGATCTGAGCGCTCAATATATCCAAACAGCGCTCAGATCCCACAAATACAGTCAAATCGCCATACACACTAGGTCCATAGTCATGGGGCAGAAGGCTGGCAATTAGGCTTCTCCATAACACAGGGAAGCAGGGCAATTTGTCAAATAAAATAACAGTTACAAATGGCAGTTTGTAACAGTGACTACTTGAAATTCCACCATATAACTCTTTGTTGAGATGAAAAGCGCCATAAGTACCGAGCCAACTTTCAATGGGCTCTAAAAATTGTGAGTTTGAAGAAATATATCCAGATTACACTAATCCAAAATTAGCAATGGCTGCTCTCCGGTCTTAGAAAAAAGTTTATTGAATCACAGTAAAAACAATGACCAACGTTTCAGTCCCCGCTCGGGACTTTCCTCAGGGTCAGGAAAAACAGAACAACAATTACCATAGATACAAGTTACAAATATATACCCATATAATCAAAATTAAAACTCACCCAGGTGCACTACTGCCATCACCAACGGAACCACGGGGACTTCCGGGTATGCGCGCGCACCCGCACGCATACTCCTCCCACCCCACGTGCTGACGTCATGCATCCGATCACCATAGAAACATATACACACTGATCTCAACCCCGTGGAATGCTGCATAGGGGGAGATCGTGGTTATAAGTATGCATGAGTAGTTAGTGCTATTAAAAAGACTAAATACAAATAGTTAAACGACTGTATGATACTAAAATAGGGTATATAGACACCCAAATTGCCAGTGTGTAATTATAGTGTTGACAGTGTGAACTATAAAGTGCATAATAGTGTTATTTAAATCACCTAATAAAGTGACATGAGTGCAAAAAAACATTATAGCATAAAGTGCTAGTATATAATATGATGTAATTGAAATTACAAAGTGCTGTGTATCCTCAAGTACATAATATACCTGATGGAATCAATATTATGCATACATAATTAAAAGATAATGACATATAACACATACTAAAAAAAGAATGCATATAATTAATGCATCCCCATACTCTAGTTCCTAACAACAACTATATATATTATACTTACAATATTAAAAACAAAAATTGGTAACAAGCTATACTTTAAATGAAGACATTGTACGGAATATTTTCATTCAATCCCATAGGAGATACTGTTTTTAATTGATGTATCCAAAAAGCTTCCCTTTGAAGCAGCATTTTACCTCTATTGCCACCTCTACGAGGAAGAGGAATGTGGTCTATACCCACAAATTTAAGGCATGCCAGTGAATGGTTCTTATCCAAAAAATGTTGGGCTACCGGTTTATCCGAATGTCCGTCTCTATACGCTAACCTAATGCTCGAGTGGTGACCTCTGATCCGTTCACAAAGTTGTGTCTCCGTCTTGCCCACATAGTACAATCCACACGGACACATCAATTTATATACCACAAACATCGTTTTGCAAGTGATGGTGTGTCTGATATCGTATACTTTGTTGGTGTGTGGGTGGCTACATTTTTTTGCTGGTATCATGTGTCCACAAGTCACGCACCCCAGACACCGAATGCACTCCCGTATATTTTGTTTCATATCCTTCGAATAACTTTCAACTGGATCCGTGTGCACCAGCAGGTCCTTCAGGCTTTTGTTCCTTCTGTAACATATCAGCGGGGGTTCTTTAAGAACCTTTGGCAACGTGTCATCCGTCGCAAGCATCTTCCAATTGTCCTTAATCACTGCTGATACCAAATTAGAGGAATTGTGGAAAGTTATAGGGAACATTATTCTCTGTGTAGGGTCTCGCCTAGATTGTACTGGGGCTGCCTTGGCCTTTACCAGTGCATCTTCCAACATTCGGGTTTCATATCCCCGTTCCACAAATTTATGTGTCATGGTCATCAACTGTGTCTCCACTTTATCCTGGTTTGAATTGTTGCAAATTACTCTTTGGAATAGAATTTTTCAACATAATAGGATGTGCACTACGTGCATGCAACAAAGTATTGCGGTCCGTGAGTTTCGTGTATAATGTATACTGTATCTTATTAAATTCATAAGACAACTCCAAATCTAAAAATTTGACTTTTTCATCACTGATGTTGGCCGTAAATCTGATGGGCGTTGGTAGCACTTTTAATTCATTCACCATCTCATGTGCCTCAGTCAACGTCCCTCGCCAAAGTATTAATAGATCATCTATATAGCGGTAGAAGCTAATGATGTTTTCTCGATAAGGTGTAAGTATATGTTGGGTCTCATATATATACATGAACACATTGGCGTACATAGGGGCCATAGAAGACCCCATCGATGTTCCTGCCACCTGTAGGTACCACTGATCTTCGAACCTAAAGTGGTTATTGTAAAGAATCAATGACAAAAATTCCAAAACAAATTCAACAGGTGGGCCCCGATACAACGGGGATTCACTTAATACCTGTCGCATAGCCTCAATGCCATCTGTATGGGGGATTACTGTATACAAGCTACTAACGTCCATTGTAATAAATATAGGAACAATATCGTGGAGATCCAAATTGTTAATCCTATGCAAGAGGGTCTGTGTATCCTTAATACATGTATTTAACACCTCCACTGGCTCCTTGAAAAGATAATCTAGCCATTGGGCTATAGGTTCCAGTATTCCTTCAATGGCCGAAACAATAGGACGGCCGGGAGGTCTCTGCGTATTCTTATGTATCTTAGGGATACTATAAATTATGGGAGTACGAGGATGCTGTTTCTCTAAAAAACGATACAGAGCTAAATTGATATAACCTGACCTGAGGCCCATTCCGAGTACATCAGATATTTTCCTTTGTATCTCAACCGTAGGGTCACCAGATAAAGAGCAATACGTATTGATATCCGCAAGCTGTTGTTTGAGGTCATCGGCATAGTCCGTATAATTTAAAAGAACTATGCCACCCCCTTTATCTGCTGAACGAATGACTATCGTGGGATCCTTAGCCAAATTATCAAGGAGACATCTTTCCTCTTTAGTAATATTCTGTGGTACTTGTCTACGTTGTGAAAAGATTTGTTGTGCCATCTTAGACGTGGTGTTTAAAAAAGTCTTAATCGATGGTTTGGTGGTCTGTTGATCAAATGTGGACCTTGGTCTGAATCTGTCTGTTGTCATATGGGTTGGTTGAATCTTATCTTTATTCAAGGTGTTAAAATATTCTTTTAATCTCATGTTCCTCCCAAATTGGAATAACTCAGTGCTCCATTTAAAGGGGTTTGGGTTGCTAGTAGGTAGACTGGTCCCTTACTTAGGATGTTGATCTCCATATCACTAAGTTGTCTATGAGACAGATTGAAGAGAGGAATTACCTCCTGTGGGGGGGTTTGCCCCTTGGTGTTATTTTTGCCCTTGCGCCCTCTCTATGTATGCTTTTTAATTTATTTAATATAGGTGAAAGAAATTTCTATGTATTGGTTAGCAATGAAATATTGAGGGTAAGGTAAACCAAAATATTTATTTCTGTGTGCACAAATCACCTTACTTATCTCCAAAGTGCACAAGACATCCATAAAATAAACATCTAAAATAAAAAGTTCTTAGTCTATGTAGTCCTTTTAGCAAAACGCGTTTTGCCTCTCTAGGAAGCTTCCTCAGTTGCTGTAATTGGACTTCCAATCTGTGTGCTTTTGAAGCTGTCCTAAATTACCGCTTCCAGGTGTCCTGGATTTCAGCTACCTCTGGTTCTGGTTTTGCGTCCCATTGATGGGACGCATGTCTCTTACCGTCTTACGCACTTCCAGTTTCTTGGATGCAACCTTGCATTCCACTGTGGTTATTTCCTCTTCGCAAGTCAATAGGGATATTTCCTTCCTTTTGGAACACCGCGTTCCACCGTTATACACTGCAGTAGTTTGTCCATGTAGTCCATAAAAGACTCATATCATAGGAAAAGAAAAGCAAGCAGAAAATATTAGGGATGTGCATGGGCAAAAAATTTGGTTTGATTCGTGACTTCGGCACTTTGGCAATTCGGACATTCATAAGTATCCTTCTCTTGCCACCACAACCACTTATACATCTTATACATCTGTAGGGCACCCTAACCACCACAACCACTTATACATCTAGGGGTGGGGTAGGGTTAGGTGCCCGGACTGCCACCACAACCACTTACACATCTATAGGGGTGCCAGTGTCTAGATTCCTGTCATCATTCATTTTTCCCTCACTCTTGTTTTGCCGCTTTTCAGAAATCTGAAGCACTTCAGCACTTCCGAAATTCGGTACTTCGGCACTTCCAAAATGATAAACTAGAATTCATATTAATTTTTATTATTATTTATATAGCGCCAGCAAATTCCGTAGAGCTGCATTAAATAAAAGTATCCTAAGTTCCATGAATACCTTTTGTAGTCTCTGATGCTGTGATATCTTTAAAATATTGATTAACTATAAACTAGATTAACTATAAACTATAAACTATTAACTAGGGGTAGGTGTGTTTTTTTTATTAAAAATCAGATTTTAAAAAAAGGACTTTTAAAATTAGTAGTGTGTTTTGTTAAAAATGAGGTGCTTACTAACCACTACTCTACCCCAACACTTAGCCAGGAAATTGACCTTAGACTGGTCGTATAGGCTGCCGCAGTCCCCGAACGCACCTCCTGATGTCACCTGCGATGTCATAATCCGGTGCTCCTCTCTTCAAGACAAAGGACACATTATGACAGCAGTCCGCGATAAAACACCTTACCTGTTCGAGAATTCACACCTCACGTTTTATCAAGACCTTACGAGATCCACGCTTCAGTGGTGTAGATCTCTTAGATCAATCACTGGTCAATTGCGAGACTCTGGCCTGACCTACCGATGGGGACCCCCAAGGACTCTGACTGTAACTTCACAGTCTCACGTCCATTATGGACTCACCGCAATTTCTGCAGGATCTGGGACTACATGCTATGGATGGTGACAAGATACCCACAGTTGCCCGGGCATGGGACCCCAATCACGTGATCCCTTTTGTTCCTAGGGGTGCTCTGCTGGCCCAAACGGGGACCTGACTCAATCAACTCGCAGTACCACGGAGAACCAGACCCTCTGATGTTAACAATTGTTTTATTGTTTGATATGTTTCTTTAACAACCTGTTTTATGTACACCCCCACCGCCCATTTCCACCTAAGTGTCTGGGTCAGTTGGACCAGTAAGCTCCACATAGCGCTTTCCAGCACACACCACTCTAAGCCTTAAGCAAGATACACTGTTTAATCCCCCCATACGCTGCCCCGCTGGTTAGGGGAACCTTACCGTGACATACTACTTGTCGCCTTTCGCACGTTGAGCCTACAGCAAGGCCCAGGCAGCAAGTCACTGATTGACAGTTCCTAGCTACCGACACCAATCAGATAGGTGCATTGACCGACAATCTGCCCCACCTGGGCCACAGCACATAACTGATACAAGGCGACACCTCCACAGCATGGTTTACTTATATCTTACTAATCATGGGTAACTCAAATAGTGGTCATTGCTCATCCTGAATGTTTGTTTGTTTCTTAGTACCTATTGTTAAGCTGTTCCAAACTCCTTAGAGCTGTACAGAGCAACCATAATTCTTTAAATCCATATAGATTTGACTTTACAGCTTCTCTTGCAGGGAAAACCGCTTGCTTGCATTGTATGTTTAATTGTAATGTAAAATGGTACACGTTACTCAAAACACTTGTATTGTACTGCTAATATGTCTCATGAAAATTACACATGGGAAAAGTTATCAATCTGTTTAACTGTCCGCATATGCACCGCAAAAATAAAGAATTAAAAAAAAAATACAGACATTGATGAATTCCGTGTACAATGTCTGTATTTTGGAGTCCAAAAGACCTTTTACACAGCTTGATTGGTTTGCCCTATTCTGTGTGGGACCGTTTGGAGTATCATGAATAACCTTAATGGGGTAAAATATGTTCTCTTTAACATCAAGATGGAAAAAATCATCAATGTAGATCAATGTGAGTGAGTGTCTATGTGAAACGATACATATGGAACAGGTTTTAAAAATGTTTAATATGAAAATGTTTTTGCTCAAGCCAGAAGTAAGGTTTTGTTGTTTTTTAAGTATGTAAACCTTATTTAAGACGCAGCTTAAGAAGCAGTGTTTTCTAAAAATAAATGTAGATTGAGGCCAAAGTTTGAATAGGTTTTATATACTTCCTGTGGTGAGACCATTCAAGAAGACTACATCATAATTCCGTTACTGAAACCCTGTCTAAATCTTTACCATCACTGCTCATCCTGTCCTGTCTTTGACCTCACCTGTATGTACAAAAGATTTACCCCAAAAGAAAGACAGCAACAACCTTAATAGCACGATACAAATACACAAAAATAAGTTCTGTGCTCGAACCCACACTACTCCTGGGCGACAGCAATGGTCATAGTGTACATCCGCCCTAATACATACAATAAAAAAAAAAGAGAGAGAAATTTTTTTTACCTGCGCACTATTCCAAATCCCTGTACATATTTGTATAAATAGTGGTTTTTAGTTCCACTCCAATGGCCATTAGATGTAAACAATGTTACCATAAAAGCTCGCTAAAACTGATGATTACAAATCTGCAAATGAACAAAAGATAATTTAGTGCAGACTATCTGAATTATATATTGGGTATTGGGGAATGATGGAAAATAACTCACATGGACCAGAGCCCTATCACCCCTGGCTCTGGGTTTGCAAGGCTCCACGTGACAGGGAAAATCACACACTGTATGGATAAAATCTGTATGATGTGTTCTGTAATCAAGTGATTTTAGTGGTGGGTCTGGCTGGTAGAGCTACCCACATAAAAGCATGTATACATCAGTAATAACTCCACAATAACAGTCACTTCTGTCTTTCGAATGTCCCGATCACATGATAACTTCCGGGTTCACCTCTCCAATGACGTCTGCGTGATGTGTTTCGCCCACCTTCCTGGGCTTCTTCCGTCACCTGAAGAAGACCTCTCTAAAGGTTGAAACCAGTTGTGCTTATTGTGATTTTGGACTGTGGCATACCAGTTACCTTTATGTTAGGTTTTTGTGTTTATTTGAAATAAATATTACTGATTTTTATTCTAATTGGTTTTGCATCTCCCATTTTTCACTACTGAGGATTGAGCTACCTTCAACACTCCAGTGGAATTCCAGCATCACACCATAAAGCTGTAAGTACCTGAGCCAGTTATATAGACAGGCTCAGAAAAATGTGAGTGTGATAATCATAAGATTCCAGTTGTGACTGTTCCATATATCATTGAAATTATATTGCCCTATGAAAGTATTCTGTATTTTATTTCTGCAGTGATATATGCCACAGAACAGAGGGTATATAAACATAATTTCTTCATCTTCTTCATACACTTTTGGGCCACTGTGATATATTTGTAATACAGTGTACATTGTTTCATGCGCTATATACTATTTTATATTTCTTGTTTCTATTTTTGGTGGGGTTCACGTGATTAATCCCACAGTGTATTCTTGCTG